AATGAACTAGTGTGACGCTAGCCATAAGGAACAAGCACATGAATGTGTAGATCTTCAACTTCAAGCCAACGGTAACATATATATATATATATATATATATATATATATATATATATATATATATATTGATACATGTTTCATTAAATAATATAGACAAGTGTTGTCTATTTGTTTTATGTAAATTCTTTTCATATCATCTGGTAAGCTTAATAACATTATCATTAAACGAAGAAAGAAAATCACAATATTGATACATATTTTTTAATCCTATCTAAGCTTTCGGCTTACATAAGCCATTATGAAAGATGACAATCATATTACAATATCTTAAGCAATACACGGATAAAACAGTGATGATAATCTGTTTCTGCTTTCACGGAAGATTTCCAAGCAAGGACAAAATCGTGCCTATAAGACTCTGGAAGCGAAAATCGCATCGCAGCTCGTGACGTCACACATGACCACGCGTGAGTGAAAACGAGAAGTATTAAGTATGGGAAGCTGGTATAAACCAATGGCTTCTGTTACCAATTCTAGGCATTTAAGAATATTTGTGAAGATTTCATAATTTATTTTGTTCAGGTTAGGTTTGAACTGTTTTATGTATAAAGCTTCAAGAATTTTTAGTTTTTGTTTATTGTTTTCATGTTTAAGTATAGTTGTGTTTTCAACAAAGATTTTCCGGAATTGTGTTTGCGGCCAGGGATGTTGTTTTAAATGACGAAAAATGTTAGATTTATCATTCAAATGTGGTGTCAAGAGTCGTGAAAGCGAGATTGTGGTGTGACCAACTTCAAATATTATTTCATTCTCTAACGAATAAAATAATATTTATGTTGGTCACACCACAAACTCGCTTTCTTCGTTTAATGATAATGTTATTAAGCTTATCAGACGATCTTAAAGAATTTACATAAAATAAATAGACAGCACTTGTCTATATTATTTAATGAAAAATGTATCAATGAGAAAATGCTGTCTTAATACAATAATATATATATATATATATATATATATATATATATTTGTGTGTGTTCAGTTTGCTAATAGGTAGAATTACTACATTTACAATTACCTATGTTTAGCTTCAACTTATATCGTCTCTTTTTCGCCGTGAATTCAGAAACTTTATTAATATTTATTAATTTATCTCGCTTTAAAAATGTAATTAGCGTGAAGATGAATTCAGCCTCCTCACAACGATTTCAGATTTCCCCCCTCTGAACATTTTTGTCAATGCTTTCTTTTTGTTTCTTTAGCTTTATATAGATATAAGAGTAGCCTCATGGTGTATTAGTATTTAGCATTGTTGAAGTTATCGCTAACATTTTGTGTCAAGACTTACAAACTCATCAATAGATTCGTGGAAAAAAATATTACCTGCAATAGATTTTTGAAGAAAAATATTTCCAGATTTTTTGAAGGGAAAAAACATTACCAGAAATGCTCACTATGAAAGTGTAAAAAAAGGTTTTAATTCCATAAATACTTTGTAAAACAATTATTGTCAGCATTAAATTTTTGAGAAAAAATTATTACCAACAATACATTATTACCAACTATACATTTTTGGGGAAAAAATTACCAGCGATACATTTTTTAAGAAATAATATTACCAGCAATAGATGTTTGAAAAATTATTACCAGCAATAAAAATTGTCGGCATTAAATAACCCAGTGAGGTTGATATACCGTAAAACAAACCAAGTTCAACCAAACAAACTTAAGTTCCGTTCAATTTTGCAAAACAATTGATGAAATTTGAATAAGCAGGGAAAATACTTTGAAAAAAAAAACTCTACTTCGCGGTTTAATAATTTCTTTAATATAATTTATTTCTGTAGGAGTTCATTGCAAACAATTTTTTAGGATTTCTTACTCTTGAGCATGCAAAATACTACAGGCCATGCGTGAATATTTTTTTTGGGTCCAAATTCCAACTTTCTGAAGCGTTTAGACTTGTTATTTGTTTATCATTCTCGCAAGCACGGACCGAACTGGAAACTGGATTCTTGTATATGTAAAACTTTTTAAAAAAGATATGCAAAAACAATATTGCATTTCATTAAAAAAAGTATTTGTTATTTTAATCATTAGATAGTTGTTTTTTTTTAGTAGGAGTATTTTGTTTGTTAAATAGGAATACTTATAACTATTCTAAAAAAAAAATAGTAAATTATTTTATTAAGCTCTGCAGTCTAGTAAAACAAATTGCATTTTGTATGTCCTTACCTGTTTTCACTTCTCCCCAAAACTTGGTTTCGATTGGCCAATGTATAGCTATTTTAGGTGTGACGGACGGTCTAACAGGGATCACAGAATTTTATAAGTAGATAATTCGCGTTCATATAAATGAAAACTTTTGTATTCGCTGGACAAAAGAAGTCTTACTACCTATCTTAAGAAATCAAACCTCTTATTTTTCGTTTATCTAAATGTCATCCAATACAAACTTAAGGATTACAGAGATAATGGTAATGATGAATTATGTGTGCGATATGAATGGGAGAAAAGGCAACTACAAGTGAATATTTTGAGGATAGGGAGGATAGATAACGACTGTTACTTGTCATGAGGTGTTGAAAATTAAAGTGTTCGGAGATTGCATCCATGCAGGAGTATGTGTCACTAGGTGGCAAATTTTCGGAAAACAGCTGAGTGTAACTTTCTTCATGCATTTGAGATGTGGAGGAAAAGACGGTGATTCAGCTTCGTGGAAGTGGCATCGAGAATACTAACTGTAAAGATCTATGCATTTTTTTTTGTTTAATCATTTCATCCTATGCAAGACAGTAAAGCCACTAAATAAGAAAAAAAAAACAAGAGGAAAACTAAAAAGGAGCGAGAAAAATATAAGACCTCAAGGACACATGGCACAGTGGATAAAGGCGTTGGTTAGAGCCAGTGACAGGACCCAAAGAGTGTGAGTTCAATACCCGGTTAAGGCAGTGGAGAACTTTCAGGGGGAAATTAGCAGGAGATAACTGATAACTGACATCCATCAAACATGGCACGTGGAACTAGAACAGTCTACCCAGTGAGTGAAATAAAGGGTTCAGTTCGAAATTCCAACCACCTGAAAAAGGCCAGAGCGTACAACGGCCGAAACGTTGTGATAAATATGGCGACACAGATGAGGACAATAGTCCGAATAATATAAATAATGTACATAATACCTAATCTCAGAAATATAGACAGACTCCAAAAATATAAGAGTAATCAAAAAGACGGTAGATAACGATTGACACTTTATTTATCTAGCGAATTCAATTGTGCATAGACGAGACTTTCTGCGAATCTCGTACTGTGCTTAAATTCATAAAAATCTAGTTACCATAGTGAAAGGTAAATTTTAAGCCACAAACCTTTGCGCTGCAACCTTAGAACGAACCTGCAACGGCCATTTTATTCGGCTTAAGAAAATTCGCGAAATGATGCTGAATTATTACTCATTGATTGATTAAATTGTTCATTAGGGTTTAGTTCTTAATTCCTAGTAACTTATTAATGTTATTTCTTAATCAGTAAAATAAGAATGAAGAATAATGTTTAAAAAATACGTAAAATAATAAATGTATAGGATCACGGAACATTTTCTCACCGCAGTAGCATAGCTTCCGTATGCCTTTGCTATAAATAATTCAATGGTACTAAATTAGGGGTCAAGATTTCATCCTTTTACAGTTCAAATGGCTAGATATAACCGTAGGTCCTATGCTAATATTTTCTACTTCATGCTAACAGTGGAACTGTCTTCCGGCTGATTGCTTTACAGTGAAGTTATTTCATCGAAAATTTAAATTCTATGTCAATCTTTATTTTCTGTCTTCTTCTTGTTCTTTTATTATTCGTACTCCTTAATATCTTTTTTTTTTTTCATAGTTTGTCACACTCACTAACAACTTGCATTTTAGTGGCATTATTGTTTTGCTTGGGGTGAAATGATAAAAAAAATAATCATTCTAAAATGCATGGAATGGCCGCGGACATTAACAGGTTAAAAACAAAACATAGTCGACAATAAATTCTAGTTTGAAAATATATGGAATATTAAAACTACTTCGATTGAGCATTTCACAGAAACGTCAGAAACCAGTTGCCAGATATTTAGAGGTAGGAATTTGTTTTTCAAGAGAGTTTCGATTAATCCACATCCCTCAAATCATCGTAACAAATATCCATTAACCTTGAAGCTATGAAGGGGAAAAAACTTAATCAATATAAAACAAATCACTACATAAAAATAGAAAATGAAATCTGTTCAATTCAATATTAAGTGGGAAAGACGCCTAGACAGTCTTTTGTTGTATCTACTCTAAGTTTTTTTTTTCTTTTTTGTTGTTGTTGTTGTGTGTGTGGTGGAAGGAACGCGTCGGTGGTGAAAATAGGCTTCGGTATTGGTAAATCAGTTTCTTTCCCGTCTATCTTTAATTCGGATATTGTGAGTGTTACCTGCGGCCATACTGTGTATTGTGTCTTTATTTCTAAGTGGCCAACGCCACATCCGCCATTTTGAACTGGTGAATGGACACTTCTTTCCTCTCGTCTGTTTTTCATTGAATGGCACTGGCTTCGTTCCGTTAAAGAAATTTATGCAAAGAGGGAAATTAATAGCACTGTGACAACAACGTAAAAGACTGTAAATAGAAACCAAAAAACAAAAAAACAAAAAAACAAACAATGAATAAGACAAAGGCAATTTTGAAGAAGTAAACAAGAACAATAAATACACTGAAAAACAGATGTTGCTCATAACGAGAGTGTAATCAAAGAATTAGTATTGTGACGGAAAGTGATTTTTTTGTTTCATTTGCAATGACGCTTGCCGTTGATACAAAGATGAACTCGATAAATATAGAGAAAAGATAGTATTAATGGGGATAAAAAAAATGGTGAAAGATACAAAGAAAAAATAGCTGCCAAGCAAAAAAAAAAAAAGAAAAAAAAAAGATATAGGACGTGTGAGAAAGTGAGGGAGTCATTATGTAATAAGTATAGGGCTAAGTTATCGAAAATAACAAGTAAACGTCGTAATTTATGGAAACTGAGATAAAATATCGCAAAAAAGATCGGAAGATTAGAAAGAAAGTTTTAAAAAAGTGGGAAAAAATAAGGTCAAAAATAAACAGATAAGAATTGATACATTTTAAATCGTTCGCTATGCGAATTTTTTGAAAGAAAGGATAACGAAAGACGGAGAGAGAGAGAGAGAGAAAGAAAAAAATCAGAGAATCACGTCTCGTAAAACAGAAAAGACCAATGAAAAAAAGAAAGAAAAAGGCAACAGACAGAGTAAGAATTAAAAGAGAGAAAAAAGAAACAGAAAAAAACGAAACGAAAGAATGCCGATACAAAGAGTAAAAAAAGGGATGCATATTCAGATTATTGGCTTTTTGAAATAAAGAAAGAAGGAAAAGAAACAACGAACGAAAGAAAAGAAACAACGAACGAAGGAAAAGAAACAGCGAACGAAGGAAAAGAAACAGCGAACGATAGAGACAAAAAGATGGTGACACGCTTTAATCAGATAGAAGGTAAATGAATTAAGGAAAATGAAATAACAAAATAATAAACGAAAAGTACCAACAAAATCTTGTAAAATTTAAGAGACATTGATTCGTTTTTACGGCTACACCATTTGCGGATTAATTTATAGTACTAAAATATTTTAAGATTATAAGAATTTTGGCAGGGATAATAATGACTTACTGATACAAGTCATGGTAATTAACCAGCAGGTCGGGGAGAAGAGGTAAATTCATACCATTCCCCATGGTATTTACAAAAGAGTAGCGGCTTGGATTGAGGAATCGGAGAGCAGAGTTCGAAAACCAGTCGAATCCATTACATTTACTTACGTGATAATACCATTGGGAAAGGTATGAATACTCTTCTACCTCCAGCTATGGGTAAATAGCAGGACATACCGGGTTCTATAGTCTTGGATGGCAGCTGCTTGCAGAAAGAAATGGCAACCTACTGGGGGGGATCTGCCTTGTCAGTCTTGTATCGAAAGATACATGATCGCCTAAGCACATAACTGACTGAATATAACGAACCCCACTAAAACTTGAACACGGCTCTTTGATTTCCAATTCCGAGCCGGTATCCATTACACCAGCTGCATATCCAAGTGGTTACCGATCGAGTTACTGACCAGGTTCGACGTTGTTTAACCTCAGCAATCGTACGAAAACGGTGTTTGAATATGATAGGTGTGTCCTGCTATTTACCCATAGCTGGGGGAGAAGAAGGGGGTTCGTACATTTCTCAAGGGTATTAGCACGTAAGTGAATGTAATGGATTCGAATGGAATTCGAACTCGGCTCTCTAATATGGACGAAAAACCACTGTGTTTGTCAATTTCTGAAAGAAAGAGAGAATCGTGTTTGAATGTAAAAACGATGCCTGAATAGGAAGAGAAAGAAGGAAGGAGAAAGAGAAAAACAAGGAAAAGAGAGGGAACACAATAGAAGACAAGGAAAAAAAACGTGAAGGTAAAATAAATACTAATGATGAGAAGAGAAAAGGATGACAAGCTGAAGGAAGAAAGAAATGGAGAGAAAAGAAAATAGAAACAAAATGGTGCGGCAACAATACGAAATATAAAAAATGAAAAGAGGGGAATTGAAATAAAAAAAAGATGGAATAATATAAGGAGGAGAAAGATAAAAGAAAAAGAGAAAAGAAATGAAAAGCAATTAAGAGCGAATAAAAATTTCAGGAGAGAACTGGAAAACGAAAATAGAATGAAGACAGGTGATAAATCAAAAGATTCAAGAAGAAATAAATAAGAAAGAAAGAAAGAAAGAATGAAAATAAAGAGGAGACATAGAAAGAAAAGAGAAAGTCAAAAACTAAGAAGAAAAAACAAAAATTGGGAAACAGAGTATAGAAGACAGAATTTAACAAAAATGAAGTAAAAGAAACTAAAAAGAAACTAAAAAAAAGAAAATAAATTTATTGCAATAGATGGATGGATAGATAGATGAGAATAGTATGATAGATAAACATGCATATATAAAAATATAAAGGTGAACATTGAAGTCAACAGTTAAAAGCGGTAGTGTGTTTCATGCTAGCCGCAATTGTCAGGCCAACTGTGTGATTGCATCTAAGTGTTGACTTCAATGTTCACTTTTATATCCACACGCTCTATCTCTGATATTGAGCACTTCATCCCATAAATATAGCACACCTTAGATAGCTAGAAAAAAGTGTTATAGATAATGACAAAACTGAGATAGATAGATAGATAGAAGAGAATTGTATAGATAAATATGAACAGTATGATAACTATATATATATATATATATATATATATATATATATATATATATATATAATTTTTTTAAAATATGATTCCTTCGCTACATAAGATTTCTCATATTTCAAAAAGAGGGCCGAAACCCTGAATATAATTATTAAAATTAAATTGAATTAAATTTCAAGCCCTGTTTCATCCTCAAGCGAAAATTTAGGAATCGGCTCTCGTTTTTGAAACATGAGAACTCTTATGTAGCGAAGGAATCATATTTTTTAAAAAAATAATTATAAATTAACCTGTACTTCTGTATGGAGAACTGTTTTTTAAAAATAGAAACAAAAATACTAAAGAACTCCGGATTATTTACCTAACGTGTTCTTCCCTATTTTTCTACACACACACACACACACACACACACACACACACACACACACACACACATATATACACACATATATAAATGAATAAATATGGTCTTAAGGTGTGCTATATTTATGAGATAAAGTGCTCAATAGCAGAGATGGAGCGTGTGTAAATATAAATATGTGTATAAATATAAATATGACATAAAGATTGCGTCTAGCATGAAACAGACTCTCACATATATATATATATATATATATATATATATATATATATATATATATATATAATAGATAGATAGATAGATAGGTAGATAGATAGATAGATAGATAGATATACCTGAAAGAAAATATTTCGTTGTATTTATCTATGGCTTATCGACCCTTTGTTTTCTTATTTAAAGCCGAAATATCTTCTAGGATTGTAAGAATAATTCTTTTTTGCGAATCTATAATCTACTTTTTTTTTCTTTTTAGAATAACATTCATTTTTACAGATGTGTATCCTACAATTTCACCCATAGATCAGATTGAAGGAGGTGAACTGAAGGAGGTGGATTGGTGGGGGTGGCTGCCTGATTTCTTAATACGTTCTGCTATCAATTAACCCAACTGCACAACGTTTTGCAGGCGGTGATCGAAACATCGAAAATAGAGAATGAAAAAAAAAAACAACAAAGACACCAAGAATGCATTAAGGAAACAGTGACGGAAAGCGAGAATAAGAATGAAATGTAAGAATGATGGAAAAGATAAGAAAACATAATATGCTGCCATTTGAATTTCGGGGATGAAAAGACAATAACGTAGTCAATGAACTATGTTTGTCCGTGAATTTGTTCAGGTGATAATTGTGTATTTTCTATGATAACCCCTTCACATAAGGCAGGCAAAGCATAGGTTCAAGACATCCGTATACCGTAAACCGACATTCACCGGACAGTACCTCAATTTCATTTCCAACCATCCATACAGCGTAAAGAAAGTGATCGTCCGCTGCTTACAATACCGAACAAAAGTCATAAGTGGCGACCCAGAGACATTAGATAAAGAATTGGTCGGTATAATTAGTGCCCTACAACGTATCAACTACCAAAAAAACTGAGATAGACAGGTACAAGAGGACAACAACACTAAGAAAACAGTCTGCCTGTCATATGTGAAGGGGTTATCAGAGAAAATACAAAGGATCTGCGGTCCATATAACATCAGGACGACCTTCAAAAGCTTGACGACACTTCGCAGATATCTCTCCTGAGTACCCCCCCATAGGTGAGAACATGACTAAAGATTGTGTGTACGCTATCCCGTGCAGCTGCGGTAAGAAATATGAAGGGGAGTTAGTTCGCCCCCTTAAGGTAGGGCTTCAAGAACACCAAAAAGCTGTAACATGATGGGACGTGGAAAAATCAGGCGTGGCTGACCACATATGGAGAGAGAAGGGAGATCACTGCCCTCTGTGCGATCATGTTGAGATCATAGACAAGAAACACCATTGGAAAATTCGTAAACTTAAGGAATCAGCACATATGTTAGGCCACAAAAATCTCCTGAGCCGAATAAGCATAAAAATGAATACAATATGGGAACCAGTAATAAGGAGTGCCAAAGAAAAGCGATAACAACAAAAAAAGTTGCAATATGAGCTCAGGTAAAAATGGTTGCTGAAGACATTAGGTTTATAATACCCAGAAACTCATACACAGATGTCCTCAATAACACATGGCACAGTGAATAAAGGCGTTGGTTAGATCCAGTGACAGGACCCAAAGAGTGTGAGTTCAATACCCGGTTAGGCAGTGGAGAACTTGGAGAGGGGAATTAGCAGGAGATAACTGATACCTGACATCCATTAAACATGTCACGTTGAAGTAGAACAGTCTAGCCAAGTGAGAGAAATAAAGGGTTAAGAAAGCCGGAGCGTACAACGGCCGAAACGTTGTAATAAATATGGCGACAAAGATGAGGACAATAATTCGAATAATGTAAATAATGTACATAATACCTTATCTCAGAAATACAGACAGATACTGATAATTTTGAGTTCATTCCTTGGGCAGCGCAGAGCAGTGTGGACAAGAGCTCATTTCGAACAGCGCGAGGATTTTATCTTAAATCCATCATATTTTATTACCTCGAACATTATTTTTATTGAATACCCGTAACTGAGTAGAATGTTCCTTCCTATCTTAACCGTGTTTATTTGGTCTAGCGGCCTAATAAGAATCATCCTTGGTTGTTAGGTGCCCTGTATCTGAATGCTCTAAATCACAACGTATAAGATGCCGGTTTCTCCTACGAAGTGGGGACGAAGATACGAATCCGTCCGGGGAGAACATTCACCTTATCAAGTTTGTACAGATCGGATTTAGCGGTGACTAGCAGCATGGCCCGACGTTGCCCGTGCTTGATTCAAAAATCGTACGACTCATACAGCAATCGCTATCACTTAAAATATTTTTGCCCTTCCTTGCCTTTAAAGGAGTGCCCTTTTCCGTGCTGATGTTGCTACATGCCTTACTTCTTGCCTATCTCGCACTGCGATGTTTTTCTAAGCTCTATACAAACATTAAATCCGTTACGAAAAAAGAAATAAACAAAATTAACACAAAACGATCAGATTTAAAAAAGGACTCGTAACTGGAAAAACCGAATGAATAAAAAATGTTAGCAACAAATACTTTTTCACACACAACCCAGGTCTGTGGAATCAGAATCAACGTTGAGTTTAAGCAAGCGAATGAGCCAATTGGAATAAAGTGCCATGCAGATTTAAATTTTTCACACTTGTGACGAATGCAGCTATCGATATTTTTTTGCATGCTAGTTAACATTCGTGTCAGTCAGCTGTTGGCTCTCACGCTGGCCAATACAATATTCCTGCCTATTCGTGGCAGTCAGCTATAGGCTCTCACTGTGGTCAGTACAAAATGGCCGCAAAATACATGAAAACTGCCATAGAAGCATGAACAAATCGATTATTTCCACTATCGATAGAAGTTGGGAAATGCAAAGTCGGTCTTGTCCTTCCCGCTAACTTGGAGCATGTGCACGTAAATTTCGGTGCAAATCCGTCGAAAATTGTGGCCGTGCATTGGTTACACACACACACACGCACACACACACACACACACACACACACACACACACACACATCCTGCCTTTTATAGACAGAGATTAGAATTAGGATTTAGCTTTGAATTATAGTGATAAGATTATGCCCGGTATGACTAAATATATTTTTTAAGCTTTTCACCCTAAGGAAGACAGGAGTGTCCCTAGCACACAACGGGATACAGAGAGTGGGAGCATGACTAAAGAGGTGTGAAAGAGGAGAGGATGAAGAGCAGGACGGGGAAATTGATCAAGGCATGTCGATTGATATTGCATTTAAATAGTTGGAGATTATAGCAATCATGGAAGCAATTAAGAAGAAGGGAGTTCCACAGACAGTACATGCAAGACATGAAGCTATTGGAGTAGAATAGACGGCTACATTTAACCGTTTCGACAGTGACTGTGTGGGACTGAGATGTCAACCTTGTAGCTCGTTTAAATTCATGCAGTTTGGGAACCAGCGAAAGTAGCTCCTTGGAGAAGTTACCATGAAAGTATTTCTAGAAAAGACAGAGGGAGGCAATGGTAAGTCTGTGAGAGAGCGACTATAATCGAGATGCCAAATCAGGGCCAATCAAATTGCATATCCGTCTCTGGATTTTGTCGAAGATATTAAGGGAACAACGAGGGACTCAGACCATATATGGCAGCAGTATTCCATGCAAGGGTGAATGGTTTATTTATAGATTTGAAGGATGAACTCGGGCGAGAAAAAGACTTTCTGGTACGACACGGAGAATCAACTTTTCTTGCGGTAGATAAAGCTATTCATTCAATATATTTGTTCCATCTCATGTCGGCGGACAGTGTGAGACCAAGCAGTCGCAGAGAGGTGGTCACTTGGAGTTGAGCATCAATAATTTTGGCTGCAAAGAAGTCTTCGAGAAAATCATCTAAAGCAATACTAACTAGTTTACCGAAAGACGGTCAACTAGCCAGCTAATGGTTAATTTACAGAATGTTATATATTACCAATTTAAAGTCTTATAAACCGCCAAAAGCCTAAATTGTCAAACAAAAATATTTAGTGATTCATCTAATCTGGCGAATACTATACTTTTCTGTCCATAGGTATTTATTTGGCGATAGAAACATCTGTGACTGATGACGTCGTATTTGACATGAGATTTTTTTTTCTTTATTATTACCGTTGTATAGAGCGATTTTTTTTTTTTTACGCCAGAGAGTGAAAAACAAATCGTAAAAGTTCATGTTATAATCTCTTGTCTTGTTTGTAAACATCGTCTTTTCTGTCAAAGAAAGAGAAAATGTTTTTGCCTTTATACCTCAATTTTCATAACTTTGAAGTGACTTTGTTTGGGTTCGTCTACCAATTCCTTGTTTTTTGGTTTTGGTTTATTGGTTTGGTGAGAGCGAGGGTTGTCTCTTTCCTGTGTGTTCAGTTAAACTTCCACGAATTTAAATACATACATACATATATATATATATATATATATATATATATATATATATGTATGTATGTATGTATTTATGTATGTATGTGCGTGAGTGTATGTGGGTGTGTTTATATATTCAAAATAAAATGATGGCTTCAATATCAAAGTTGAATTTCTTTTTCTTCAAAGCCAAACCGGCAATGATAACATCTGCTCGTCTACAAAATCAAAAAAAAAAAAAAAAAAAAAAAACAAAGATAAAAGAAATTGTCTGTACATGGCGCCAGAATAAACGGTCAAGGTCAAAGTAATATAAATATATAGATGAATGTAACAATTTATAGTCTGGTTGTAAACTTGAAAACAATTTATTTTAGTTTTAATTTCTCACGTTTCAAGCCCTATACACATAGAGGAATCATTTACCCATAAACAAAGCAATAAACCGACAAAGACGGGATAAGTTACTGAGTGTAAGACAATATAAGACAATGAAACCATTATTAAGGAGAGAGAACAATGAAAAAAAAACAGGAATTCAAAGGACAAAAGGTAACATAATGGCATAGCGTTCAAATTTTGAAGATCAAACTTGACTTGAAGCAAATAGATTAAAAGAGATTTTCACACGCGAGATGTGAGAGAAAAGAAATGTGTGTGTGTGTGTGTGTGTGTGTTTGTGTGTATCTGTCTATATTATGTACACTATTTACATTATTCGGACTATTGTCCTCATCTTTGTCGCCATATTTATTAAAACGTTTCGGCCGTTGTACGGTCCGGCCTTCTTCAAATGTTTGGAATGTCGAACTGAATCCATTTCACTCACTGAGGTAGACTGCTCTAGTCCCACATGCCATGTTTTAATGGATTTCAGTTGTAAGCTATCTTCTGTTAATTCATGTTAATTCCCCTCTCCAAGTTCCCCACTGGCTTAACCGGGTATTGAACGCACACTCTTTTGGGCACTGGCACTGGACCCAATAATAATAATTCATTCAAGCCTACAACAAGAATACTTAATAGAATGCAGAAAGTACTGTACGCCCGTTTTATATATATATATATATATATATATATATATATATATATATATATATATATATATATATATATATATATATATATATATATATGTGTGTGAACATTGAAGTCAACACTCAGAGGCCAGAGGCTGTTTTTATATATATATATATATATATATATATATATATATATATATATATATATATGTGTGTGTGTGTGTGTGT